TCAAAAGGGTGCTTCTACTAAATACTGAGCAAAGGGTCTGAATACTACTTAGGAACATGTGATATCAGTTTTTCTTTTTTAATAAACGGCCCTGAGGATGGTTGTATTACCGAAAGCTCGGCATTAAAGGGTTAGTTCACCCAAAAATGAAAATTAAGTCATTAATTACTCACCCCCATGCTGTACCAACCCCGTAAGACCTTCGTTCGTCTTCGGAACATAAATGAAGATATTTTTGATTAAATTTGAGAGCTGTATAACTACCACATTGGCTCCTAAAGGACTGCCTCTTGACGGCCCAGAAAGTCAATGAAGAAAATGTTTAAATATCCCAAGTGACTACCGTGGCTCAACTATATGTTTATCAAGCGCCGCGAATACTTTTTGTGCGAAAAAACAAACAAAAATAACGAGTTTATTCGACTATTTCTTTTCTTCCTTGTAGGCCAGAAAGAGACTTCCTTAGATTTCCACGACGCATGCGCGAGAATTGCGATCTGAAGTAGTGTAAGCTGGTGTAAGCAGATCGCAATTCTCGCGCATGCGTCGTGGAAATCTAAGGAAGTCTCGTTCTGGCCTACAAGGAAGAAAAGAAATAGTCGAATAAACTCGTTATTTTTGTTTGTTTTTTCACACAAAAAGTATTCGCGTCGCTTGATAAACATATAGTTGAGCCACGGTAGTCACTTGGGATATTTAAACATTTTCTTCATTGACTTTCTGGGCCGTCAAGAGGCAGTCCTTTAGGAGCCAATGTGGTAGTTATACAGCTCTCAAATTTAATCAAAAATATCTTCATTTGTGTTCCGAAGACGAACGAAGGTCTTACGGGGTTGGTACAGCATGGGGGTGAGTAATTAATGACTTAATTTTCATTTTTGGGTGAACTAACCCTTTAAATTTTGCTTTAAGGACTCAAGTGTGCAGACAATTTATTTTTTTTTTTGGGTTGTCAAGTGGTATCTGTCTGGCACCTTGTTTGCCGTGAGTGCGGTGAAACTCTTTCAAATTAATAAATGTGCAAAAATGTCAACAGTTCTGTGTTTTTCTGTCAATATGGGGTGCTGTGTATAATGAGGGATGAGGGGCAATAATGAGGGGAAAAAAATTAAATGATTTTAGCAAATGTCTGCAATATAAGAGAGTGAACAATTTAGGGGGGTCTGAATACTTTCCGTACCCACTGTGTATATATATATATATATATATATACACACACACACACACACACTGACACATTTAAAATATTATATTAAATTGTAATTCAATCAATCAACCAATCAATCAATCAATCAATCAATCACACAAAACAGCTGGTGTTCATTAGTATTTATAACCAGCATTCATATTTTTAGATCCCTTAACCACTTAATAACACTTTTTAAAGACCAACACCTCTCTTTATATACCCAGCTGATAACCTGGAATTGTGTCTTGCAGAGTAGACGACATATCGTATGTGTGCGTTTGGCTAAAAGACTTGTTACACTCACTGTCTGGTCTGAGAGCGGCGGAAGAACAATCTGTCGTTCAATGGTGTTAATGACAATTTTCCACAGCTCCTTCAGAACCCGCTTGAGAACTGTCTTCTCACATATCTTAGCAAACAGAATAAGGCTGGAGAAAAAAAAAGGGGGGATGGAGTAAAAGACAGAAATGCACCTTGCTTACACTGTCAGTGAAATGTGACCCAATTCCGATTTTTTTGCTCATACGTGACACAGATCGGATGTGTTCTATTACAGTGTAAACAGGAACAAAACGCATGCATTCGGATATTTCCAGATCGGTTTCAGGCCTCATTCATATGTGGAATTAAATCGGATATGTGCCAATGCGACTGTCATGTAAACAGGCAGATCTGATTTTCTGAGGCATTAGGCGACGTCTCCACAGTTTAATGACGAGAGAAACCCCCGACGCGCTTCTGCGAATGGACGGATGGCCGCTAAAACGTTGTGCCATAGGAGAGGAATGTGGACAGGGGAGATGTTTTCACAGGATTGTAAATGTGACGAAAATTGTTCATTTAAATTTATTTTAAGCATTTAGTAATTTATTTGTAATAAACACTTTAAGTGGGCTATTTAAAACATGCTAGGACTATTAACATGCTCAATTATATTTTTAAAACATATGCGCAGAGTGTGACATCATATTGTGTGACCATAGAAAGAATTACTCCGCAGGCGCTCAAAAAATTGAAATAAAATCAGCTGCTCTACACCTGAGCGCAACTCCACCGTCAGTGTTGTGTAAGTACAGGCTCTAGGCAGTTTTTTTGTGTTCATTTCTATTTGCTGTCTCTGTGCAGGCTCTTTATTGTATAACAGTGAACAGCCCAATAACCCCTTTATTTTAAGGCTTAATGTCCCGTAGATCGGTCTGTTGCATTACGAATGAAAGCAGTACCAATGTCAAACATGTGAAGTGCAGTCAAGTTCGGGTGTGTATGCTGTTTTAACAAGTGTTCTCACTGATACGCGTGTGACTCGTGGAGTTTTATAGACTTTGTTTCTTATTTAAAAGTGGTGTTTTACAACTTCGCATATCACAGAGCATGAAGCATATTTCGTGTTCGTCCATCTGTGCAAGATAATTTAACCCTTTAAGCATGCGTGATATATTTCAGTTAGTAGCCTATATGGCAAATGTAAACAAATGAATCGGATATGGGTCACAATTTAAAGAACGTGTAAACAGACAGTTAAAAAAAATCGGATATAGGCAACAAATCAGAATTGGGCATCAAGACCTGCAGTGCAAATGAGGCCTTAGTTACCATGTTTCAAGAAATGTAATCCGCAGTTCTCTTACTTCTTGTCCAGCAGGTCCATAAGGGGTCGCAGGACCGTCTCTGCGTCCATGGCTGCATTGCTCTTGTTCCCTGCGTTTCCTTTAATCTGCACAAGCTCCTGGTTCATTTGTTTGACACAGTCCTCAATCACTGGCTTGAAACTGCGGATGGACGTGTTAAACTCAGTTTGAAAACAATATTCATAATCACACGTAGCTTAAGATACTATCATTTCATTTGATAACGAAAACAGGTTCAGCACATTTTTATCATTTAAGCTAAAATTATTTTTTATCATTTTATCTTTAATCATCTGTATGTCTATTCTTTTTAATCACAGAGGGCAAAACAAAACAAATGTAAAATGGATGCTATTTACTTAGTCCATAAATGTCACACGTCTAATTATGAATGATTCCTTGAATGATTTCCCGTTTTTCATTTCATTTTTCCCAGTTAACATTTCATTTGTTTAAGGAATTTACACTCTTTTCTTGACTTTAGCAAGTTCATTAAAATATGTCTTTATGTATAATGCATTATAAAAGTCCCCTGTGGTGAAAATCATGCTTTTAATGTTGTTTATATGTCTATGTGGTGTTTTTAATATGCTTTAAAACAAACCATGTGTAAATTCACAAGTCAACACACCATTGCTAAGTATTTTCTCTTTTAAAACTGCAGTGAACCAAAGACTGTCTCAAAAACACGCTTTGAAATCGCTAGTGTTTCTGACGTCACAAACTACCTTGTAACCAATCAACGTGTGATCGTCAATGAGCTGGTGTGAGTGAGTGGAGGCGGAGGTGATTTGCACATTCATAGAACTGTGTATATTAAATGTGTTACATTCAAGCGATTTTAAGGCCTAAATATTTTTGGAAAAAAACTTTTTAAATATGTAATTTTGGTTTTCAAAGATGAGATTCAGGGGATAAAATGATTGACTACAGGGGGACATTAATGCATTAACTATGTCGTTTAATGTGCCTTATAATGAATTGTATGATCTCATTTAAGATAACCACAGTTAAAATACGTATCTGTTCATTGTTATACCTTCATTAAACACGACAAACAACTGCAAATATTATAATGCATTTGGTTACAATTGTTTATGAAAAGATATAATGTATTATACATTAAGGCTTTAAGTAAAGTGTTACCAAAATATCATTATTTTTACACCGGCTCAACAACTTTACCCATTGTTCCCAGATACTTCACCTGGAGCCGAAGACCGCGCTGAGCTCATCCAGAACCGTATTGAGCTTATTCTGAAGTTCTTTGAGTAAACCACTGGCCTCAGCATCCAGCTGTAAGAGACACACAGCATCACTGTCAGTGAACAGGATATGCTGCATATGACAGGAACAGGAAGCACTGAAGACTCAGAATCAACCAGTAGTGTCTCTACGAAATATTTAGTTGCATTGCAAATACTAAACTCTTCTGAAGTGAAAGTTTATTATACAAAAAATACATTTTGGCGCAGGGTCAAAAATTCAACAAGCCAACCAACTGCAAATAAAACTTGAGTTTAAATGAAAAAAACAGTCATTATCCATTTAGTCAATATTTTAAAAAAGTACGTTGAATTGCAAAGTAAAGAACACATCAGTGACTTGTGTAACTTCTAACAACTTTTACCTTAGTGGAAATTAAAAAGTGCATCTAGGATACCAAAAAAAACAAAAATAATGAACAAAATTACAGTGTAGTTATGTTTTTGACATTTGAAGATTTACATTTGGAGCGATGGAGACTGACTCATCCTGTACATGATGCAGGACAGTTCAAAAATACTCTAAAAGAAATAAATAATCCCTGTCGTAGGGACAAATATTTGTTATTTCTGTCAATTAAATAGACACATTTTATGATGTCCAAGCCTGACTAAACTTTTCTCTCATTACATTTGATTTATTATTATTATTATTATTATTATTTAAAAATAAATTGACTCCAATAAAACATTTAAAAAAAAAAACAGGTTTAGTGTTTTGTTCTCTCTCTCTCTCTCTCTCTCTCTCTCTCTCTCTCTCTATATATATATATATATATATATATAATCGAACTTATAGGGTCATTAAAACAAATATTCCCTCTGAACATCACTTTTGTATACAGTATGGTTGTATGTTTTGTGTTTTTAACACAGGTTCACTAGATTTAGAGAACTGGCTGACACAGCTTTGTTTTCGTGCCATGGTTGGATGATTTTATCTGCCATTGCACAGCGAGCTTTCTGTCAAGCATGCTCAGCCTCTGAAAAGGTCTTGACTGGAGTCAGTTGACTAATGATAATGGCAAATTCAATAAAAAGCCTTTCACCACATCAGAGGCATGAGAGCAGATGAGCCAATGAGATGCAGGTGTTCTGAATTCAAACATTACATTGTCTGCAACACAAAGGTGAATTTTACTGATAATGCACGTGAATGTTCGGCCTACTTCTCATTTCACTGTATCCATCATAGTGCAATCCAAAACAATGCTCAATATTTGCAGTCACACAAAACATTCATGCAAAACGTCTGTCAATTACACGTTCACAACATCCTAAGAGTTGAGTTATACAGAAAACCAATGTAATTCTGCATAAAATGTGTGCTATTTATAACTACTGACAACATGGACCATTTTAAAAAACTTTACAGGGAAAAGACAAAGTGAAAAAAAAACCCTCTTTAAACTGGACTTGCTCATCTCTAAATATGCTAAAACTGTGAGACATTCGGCATTATTGACTATGCTTATTATAACCGCTAAGCTTAAAACAGCCGAGGGTTATGCAGAGGGTTGAAGTTGGCTATGGCGCTTTGGCTTGATTGAGTAATGATACAACAAAGCTTAAAGTTCTCTTTTCTTCTCTGTTGTGAGAGATATTTATTGGATTTACACAAGGATTTCCTTTTCCATAACGGAACAATATTCCATCTTCACCAATAGTCACAAAACAAGCATTCAACCACAGCCTCGGTGGCGGTTTCCCTCTGGCAACACCTGCCCTTGATTACAGCTACCCTCCTAAGTAAGTCATAACCCTAGTGCCCCCTAATGGCCAAACCTGGACAGAAACATTGAAATGGCTCCTACACTTATGTTCCAGAATCATGAGACAAGGAAAAAAGTTGGATACACTTTATTTTTAATTGTCCACTTTAGACATTCTACCAATTATAAGTAAATTTGCAACTACATGTCAACTAACTCTCATTAGAGTATTAGTAGATTATAGTAGGTGGCTCATCTGTGACCAGGACAATACGTCTTTGTGGTGTATCGAGAGCTATGGTATCCAGGGTAATGTCGGCATACCACCACGTAGGTCACATCCAACAGAAGCAACTGTCAAAAAGCAAAAGGAAGCTGTCTAAAAGGTAATCCAGGTAATAACCCGGATTGTATCCAAAATGATAGAGCAGCCCAACTCACAGCAGATTTAAATGTTTAATCTCCTGTTTGTCGAGAGCTCCACAAAGTTAATATTCTTAATCAGACTGCTTCAGCCAAACCTTTGGTCACTTGTGCCAATACCAAATGTCGATTTCATTTGTGGCAACAATGCAAATCTTGGGCTGTGGACAATGTGAAACATGTTTTGTTCTCTGGTGAGTCCACTTTCATTGTCATAGTTATTTTGTGGAGAAGCCACAAAGAGGCTCAACACCCAGGCCTGTTTCGTGCCCAGAGAGAAGCACGGGTGAGGATCAGTGATGGTTTGGGCTGCACTATCTTGGCATTCCCTACTGTGCTTGATGGGTGTATCTCAGCCAAGTATTACCGAACCATGCTGGAGTACCATGTGCACCTAATGATTCAAACATTGTACCCTGAAGGGGGTGCCGTGTATCAGCATGATAATCCACAAATACACACAGCAAGACTTGCGACAGATTGCTTTGACGAACATGAAAGTGAAGTTGAACATCTATTAGTTTATTAGTTGCATTTAAATGGCAATGTTCTTGTATTACACCATAGCTGTGCTTGGATGAGGCAGGACGTCCATGTAGTCAGGGATGGATGACTGACTTGTGAATTGTAACGGTGTTTATGGTTCTCGGTAAGCAGCGGGGCGACCATATCAATCAATGATGGCAGCGGGCCAATGCTCGTGCAAGAGACCTCATCAGGTTAATGGAGATCAGAGGAGATGTCGGTCACCGAATAGGTAATGGAGGTGATTCTGACTGATAACACGAAAACAACAAATGCTTTGCAAGTGTGACCCATTAGGAAGATTTGTTTAAAAGAAAAAGAAACGGAAAAAAAGAAATGATATTGTGCTTGATGAAAAGTCACAATTTTTGAGAACACAACCACCCCAATTCTAATTACTGTGATGCAAATAAATCTCGTATGCATTACTGTGATTTATACATTCAAAAGTTTGGTTTCAGTTTTTTTTGTTTTTTTTTAAGAAATGCATGTTTTCATTCAGCAAGGATGCATTAAATAAAAAGTTATAGTAATGGCATTTATAATGATACAAAAGATATTGATTGTTTTTTTTTTCTATAACCAAAGATTCCTGATAAAAAGCAGAAATGTTTCTTGCAGCAAATCAGCATATAATAATAATTTCTGAAGAATCATGTGACACTGAAGACAAGACCAATAATGCTAAAAAAAATGGATTTGCATCAGGAATACTTTTGAATATTCAAATAGAAAAAAGTTATTTTAAATTGTAATAATATTTCAAAATACTGCTATTTTCGACTGTATTTTTGATTAAGAAATAATCAAAAGCATAAGAAACTTATTTCAAAAAACATAAAAAAAAAAATTAAACTTTTGAATGGGATTGTATTACAATCCCAAACCTGGGATTGTACCTGGGATTTATTCATGGTATCTTTTGTTGCATCGTCAAATAAAAATGTCACAAAAAACGAAAAGGTTTTCAAGTAAAAACGGAAAACTTTTTATGCATTTTGGCCATTTATATATTACATTTAAAAGTATTTTATACTTTTAATATAAATATTATTTAAATAAAATAAATGAATTATTTAAAAAAAGTCTTAAATGATAAATAATGAAATAAAGTCTTAAATAAATTCTGTAAATATTAGCAAATTATTTGTATTTATTCATGGTATCTTTTGTTGCATCATTAAATAAAAATGTCACAAAAAACGAAAAGGTTTTCAAGTAAAAACGAAAAAAAAAAAAAAAGAAAAAAGAAAACTTTTTATGCATTTTGGCCATTCATTTACAACAGCATTTTGGGGGCCTGGGTTTATTTTTGAAAACGATACCATTTTTGTCTGTGTAAAATTTGCTGCAAATTTGCATGATACAGTGTTTTAGTTTTTGCAGATCCGTTTGAATGTGGATTGCTGTCGTCTGGACACAGAACTTTTCAAAAACGCAATGAAAAACTTTTTTGTTTTTAAGTACATCTTACATTTAAGTACATTGAATTTCTTTTTTCCCCTACATTGCTTCTATGAGAATTTAGTAGGGATGCACCGAAATTAAAATTCTGGGACGAAAATCGTAACCAAAAATGCTTAATAATCATCAATTATCTAATTGAATGACCTTTTATTTATTTATTTTTGGAATATTTGTATTAATTTAAGAGTTTGTAATGAAATTCAATCATTTTACTTTACTGAATTTACAAGCCAATAAATAAAATAAAATAACCAGTTTAATAGAAAGTAACACACTAAAATTAGACGTAAAATATATTACTGTTAAATATCAATATATTATTCTTTATTCAGTTCTATGCAACATAATCAATTGTAACAGATTTATTTTTTTAAAATTATCCAAATAATGCATAGTCCAACAAAGCTTTTATTTATGAAAGCATGTAAGCAGAGCGTGATGAGCAGAGCTCATGTGAAATGTTAATGTTAAGTTCTAACTAAATTTATTACATTATAATTTGAATCTTAATTAGGGATTCATGATGTGAAATTGTAAAGATTGTAAAGATTACTCTTGTATAGTGCCCCTGTGGTCTACCTCATATCGTTAATGAGCAGAAAACAGATGCTTGAAGGCGGTCAGTTTTCGCCCGAGACCCTGTTTCAGACTGACTATCGAAGCTAACTTTCACTTCTGCAATTAATTTTTCTTGGACAGTTTGGGATCTTATATTTATAAATCCATGATAACGAGCCACTGTAATTGCATTTTTCTTTCAGTTTGCTAATTGCTTTGGGAACGGTGGCGCTGCCAGAGCATGGCAGGGTTATATTTGGTGTGTTTCGCTTTTGCTCTCTCAGAAGGAGTTTCATGAAGGAATCATATTAGTCATACTTTCAAACAGCTGCAATCCGTTTTTAAG